ACTGAAGGAGGAGGGCCCAATGCTACGGAGCAATAGTGGTACAGTGATGATGTTCAAGGTGTAATTAAGACACTGAGCTTGTCTCTAGACATGGCAGAAGACTGGGTGTCAAGAATCTTGAAAACTATATATCAGCAAGAAGAAAGCTAAAAGGCCATCTAAGAGGCAAGATTAAGAGCATATGACAAGTTCTATGACTGTCGACATTAAAGGAGAGAAAAAGTGCATAGGATAGCTGAAATAATGGGATGGAAAATGAAACCTTTAAATTGTCAAGTGCATTAAGGACAAGGACTGAGAGTTTTGATAAGTGATGAAGATGTAAAGAAGAGGTGAAGATGCTATTTTGGAAGATTGTTGCATTAATATTGGGTCACAATTATTGGATAGGAGAAGCTATTAACCTCGAGAAGAGCATAGACATCTTGCTATTTTGTGAAATTAGGGTATTGGAGGCAAAGGAAGACCTCAAAAATGGGAAACTTGTTGAGGCTTTGAGATATGTCAGTATTTCTATTGAACTTTGGTAGTAGTTTTTGGGGAAGTTAGCATATCTTGTTTGACAAAGTTATTTAACAAAATCAGTACAACTAAAAAGATGGTGGGCAAGTAGGGAATGCAAAATTTATAGAAATAAGGGAGGTGTTTATAATTATGCTAATCAATAAGGCATTAGGTTAAAGAGTCACACAATGATACTTGTGAGAGATTGAAAAATGAACAGTTCAGAGATTCAAATCGGATTTATGCCATAGAGAATGAACTATGGAAGCAATACCTTAATTTGCAGTGCAATATTTTTTCATTAAGAAAAAACCATAGAGTATGAAGCTTGTGGTTTAATTTTGAGATGACTTTTCACTGCTCAATCTTAAATTTTCTTTGATGAGATGGACAGGGATGAACTGATATTGTGCTATTACTTCATTTGTTGGTAAAAGATTTACTTGTGTGTTTATACTGCAGAGGTAGGTTCAATTTTTTACTTGAAATGGTATGTTCAATAAGAAAAAAAGGAAAAACAGAAGAAATAAACCTAAAATAAAAACTAGATACGCAGTTCTGTCAGTGATATTCCAAGTAAAATTGTATGTTCAATGGAAAATTAGAAGGTTAAATCAAAAGAAAAAGAAACAAATAAAAATTAGATAAACTTTCTTCATTTTGTCAGCTAACCTTGGAAGCCAATATCTTTGGAATTGTCCTGGAATTATTTCTTGTCATTCAAGATAAAAAATGAACCTGTCAATTATTTCCTAGTTTATTTGGAATTCAGTCACTAGCATCTGGTACCTGGAGTGTGTATGAATCAACACTTCATGAAGGAGCAAAACATTTGATGTGATCTTGTGGATTGCTTGAACACATCTCAATTCTTTCTAAATGATCTTCCGTTTTCATTTTCTTTTCTAGCTTTATTGGGCATGATCTATGGGAGTGAGAAACAAGAAATGAAGTGTATCAAATATTTTCTGGTTGTCTGCTGTTATATTTCTGATAATATGTTCTTTAATGAGTTTTAACATCGTATTTTATTGATTTAGCATGCATTTTGCCAGTCATCCTACCAAATAACAATTTTGTCACAT